AACATAAGAAGTTTGCGTTTTGATATATCAACGGTGTTTGTCACCGTTTGAGAGCATAAATTGTGCACATTTACAATTTCAATTTCATGTCATGGCATTCATAATTCGAACGTATAAACTAAGCAAAGACTACTGTGCTGTACATTTGTACATGCTAACAGTGACCTTAACCAGCCTCAGCACATTTTCCTATGTCAAGGTGTCAATGTTGACAAGAATTCTCCTCAAGCGGTTGTGACGACAATTAATATGAAGTCAACACCTGACAGTGTTGTCTCTATTCCTCCGCTCTCCAGTCCGATGATGGCCACATGTGCTTGTCTGCTACTTCCTTGTGTGCATTCTCTCTTCCAGCTCTACTAATCTCTTGGTACTTTTTCCAATTGGTCAGTTACCTTTTCAGTGGTGGTTTTCTCTTCTCTTCTCTTCCCCCTTCCTTTCCTTGTTTGTTTCCTTGGTTTTCTATTGTCTTTTTCCATCTCCGAAAATCGACAACAGTGGACACTGGATGGCAGTGTATACCAACATAAAAGTTATATATCTTTACATACGTGTTTCAGACCCCAGTAACTGATGAAGGTAATGGCCAATGAAAGACAATTTTCTATTTTTTATCCCAAAACTGCATGTAAAAAATTGTTTCTCATTACTAGCTAGGATGTCAAAAATGGAAAACGACACCATGTCTTGGCCTGACCTCCACCAGGTAGAGTAAACTGAGAACTTAAACAATGTTTTCTCTTCCCACAAACAACTTCTGTTGTTTTCAAAATAAACACTGCTCTTTGTCCAAGTGGCACACGTGTGTACTTAACCGGACCTGACAGTGATACTTCATATTACATGATGTCCACAGTACATCATATGTGGTGAAGAAAATCTTTATTAACAATAAATTTCCTCCTAGAAATCTTCTGTCCTATGCATCCAGGCAATGCCAAACAGCTAGTTTTCAAGATTTCAAGTTTGATTGAAATAAGAAACAAACAATCACCAATCAAACTGTGTTTTTCAAGAGGGCCTGCATGGGGGGGTAGTGATTTAACGAATTACGCAAAATTTTCGCCGCCGATTACAAATTACATTGAATTCTCAGAGCTGATTACGACTTGACGCTTTGCAGTTAATGTTCTATCACAAATTATGTTGATTTTTTTGGGAGGCTGCCTACGGATTATGAAGATTAAAAAGGGCTGATTACGCCTTACAAAAAAGGGCATGCAGGCCCCTTTCAACATCAACAACAACATATCTGACCACATTATCCTAGCTGTTTTGTTCTTATAAGAATAGCACTTGGACAAGCTGAAAAGACAACATAAGGCAAGTCAAGTGGACAATCCATTGGATTGAACAGAGTGTCCTTTGTTTTTGTCGACCCACCCAACTTCAAAGGCCTGCCCGCCAGATGCAAAGGTTTGCTACCCACAGACGGGGCAAACAACAAGCTGTTTTGGCTGGAAGGTCTCAACAAAGTCAGCATGTTTATATACTAAGTAGTGTGCAGTAGGGGTTGGGGACTGTACAGTATTGATTGTGGAGTAGTGTCTGTGCAGTAAGGTGTAAGGGGACTGTACAGTATTGACTATGGAGAAGGGTCAGGATATACACTGGGATACAACATGTAATACCATTAGGCCATGTTGATTTGATTATATGGATGACATCCGCGGGCGCATGAATTTTCGGCCGTTTCCAATAAAAAAAAAGTTTTCAACCATACTGTAAATCGCCAAAAAGCGATTTACAGTATGGTTGTCTGACTTTTGTTCCTTTTTCGACTTCCAAAAATTTGTCTTCACTTTATTTGCATATCAATCAACAGGTTGTGCTTATAAACCTGCTTTCCCCTCTGGTCTCTCAGTCACTGACGAAAGCTAGTGGATACTAGCTGAAACGTCTGACGTTTTCAAAATCATATCCAGTTGCTTGAGTAACTGCTTTTTGGCGTATCGTATTTCCTGGATGTCTAACCTTCATCGACGCATACTGTAAATTGTACAAAACAGTTGCAAAATGAGCAAAAATATACCGTAAGTTACAAAAAAATAAGTAAAAACTATACCAATGTCGTAGAATGCCAAAATCAAACGAAAAAAGACAAAATTGTAAGGAAATGAACTTGAAGATTAGATTATTTGCCAAACCATATTCTGTCCCATTTGTTCAACCCTCAAGACCACGTAGATTTCATAATGAAAACAACTTTTTTTTTTGCAAAACTTTTTTTTATTCGCACGCGCGCATCAGTTTTGGGGCTCCCGGAGGATGTCATCCATATAATCAAATCAACATGGCCTTAGATAATAATACTTATACTGTAATATAATCTGCAAAAATTGAGATTTGAAATCAAGTTACAATAATTGTTACAATTGACATTAAAAAACAAGGAAGCAGGAAAAATCTTAGTCAAACCATCAACTTTGGTTTTATTTAGACATCATCCTCAAGTCTCTATGATATTTGGTCACTGTCTTCTCCTGGGCTGCAGCTGAATTCTGATTGTAGTAGTTTGGTCCATATACATTTCTTGGTTTAGAAATAATTAGATTATCCTGTATTGGGCTCTTGAAGTCTCATGTGTTCAACTGCATCCCACCATCTACAACCAGAACCTGAAGAAAAACAACAAGATAATTACAAAGGTAACATTTGCAAAGCAAATGCATATTAATGTTTATCTTTGCAGAAGCCAGTGCACGTTCCATGAAAATCTGAAAAACGAGGATATGGCATACTTACAGTTCCTGTAATGTAAGTCGAATATGCGAGGAATCTGACAGCTGTAGCGACCTCCGCAGGTGTTCCCAGTCTCTGTAGTGGTACCGACTGTGTTACCACGACTTCACTCACCCCTGACGTCATATCAGTATCAATAAATCCTGGGAAATGGACACAATATAAATTACAATTTTAATAATGCAGGTGGTAAAAACACTCTTCTTTTACTTGTCTTACCACTAACTCTTTTATAATCTTTCATTAGATCATATCCACTGATCCAATGTCCTCTTCAAAGATCAGTTTTCTAGCCAGTGACCATCTTTCTATCCTGTGACAGAATTTTGCCGCTCATGATGAACAAAAATTTTTCCTGATTCGTCATCTTCGATAGACGAATATCAATGTGTTATGATATAGAAAGAGATCTCATAAAACTAAGCTTAGTCTATCAGCAAAATTTTCCCCTCAAAATGCAGGCAATAGTAATTCAGAGGATCAACATTTCAACAATGTTACATCAAACGAAATTGAGATGAGAGAAAATAAGTTCAGCATGGCTAGAATACTGTCTTGCATATTCCAGCACAGGTTTCTTAAAATTGACCTCCCTACAATACATGACAGTTACCTGGTACAATAAGGTTGACCCTGACCCCTCTGGAGGCGACTTCCTTAGCGAGAGACTTGGTGAAGCCCTGCAGCCCTGCCTTGGATGCACTGTACACACACTGGCCGGGGTTACCTTTCATTCCAACTATGCTTCCTAGGACAGACAGAGATACAGAGAGTTACTCAATTGTCATCTTGTTCTTGGCCTACCTTGCTTCCTCCAAGGCATCCAATGCAATCTCAGGGCAGATTAACAAAAATATGTAAGATTACATGTATGCTCTTTCCCCCGGCCACAATACCATATGACATGAGGCCAGAGCTCCAAAAAGTTTTTGTCAGAAACAATTTACCGACATGCAAAGTTGCAAAAATTTTACATCCAATTTGAAAAATCTACATGCACAATTGAATATGGTCTTAGTAGTAAACACATAAGCGCTCAAACAGTATACAATCATACAAATTTTTCACATAAAAAAGACATGAAAAAATAGATTTTAAAATGTCTTTTTTTTCACTGTCTGAAGAGAACCCTGTTCAACATGCGAATTTTTTTACAAGCAAACCTTGAAAATTACATGCAAATTGCAAGTTGCATGGGAATATTTCAAGCCCCTTGAGGCTTACTTTAACTAAGTGATACACTGACCCTGTGTACCTTACCCACATTGATGATAGTGCCTGTTCTTCTCTGTACCATGGACCTGACTACAGCTCGACAGGTCAGCATGGGTCCAACAAGGTTAGTCTGCAGCAGGCTTGTCATGTCTGCAGCCTGAGTCTTCAGCAACAGGACATCTTTATTCACTCCTAAAGAAAAGGGTGGCAAGGTGGTCTTGTGGTTAGGGTTGTTGACTCAGAATCTGAAGGTTCAGGGCTCGAATCCTTGGTAGGCCCCATTGTTGTACCCTTGGGAAAGGCACTTTACACCTATTTCCTCACTTGACTCGGGTGGAAATGAGTACTAGTACCTGGCTTTGGTTAGGGATGACCTCTTGGAAGGACATAAAGCCAGAGGTCCGTGTTTTAGGTGAGCCACACCTCAAGCATGTTAAAACATCATAAACAGTAGGGGTCCTCGGTGTGAGTGGTTCAAACTTTGCAGTCTGGTCTCAAATATCTTGTACACGCTGTACCAACTAAACTGGTGTGTTACACCTACAGGCTTCTAAAATATCCCGGTTTGCTGGTTATTGGAAACAAGCAAAAGAAAAACATTTTCTTTTATTTCTGAAACTTTTGCTCTATACCTGCTTCAACAGTTGAAAATGGGCTGAGAACCAACATTATTCTTTTCATTTGCTTCTTTTATGCTCTATCGTCTTAAAGAACAAGAAACAATTATTTTCATACCTGCAGCGTTCACTAAGATGTCTACAGGTCCCAGTGTGTCCTGTATAGACTTCACCGTGGCATGAACACGTTTCTCATCGCTGACATCACAGCTCACACCAAGATGTGGACCTGGAAAGGAAAAAAAGTCAGCTTGATCCAGTTTTAGCTCACTGAAGAGCTAATCTCCCAATGACACAGAAGGCAGGCACTATGTAAGTTGTAACAGTATCACATGGAACAAGAAACAGTCCATGTGGACATTTGTTTGAAATACATGTATCACACCAAAACAAGCTACGTGAGGCTCTTTATTTCATGGTAGGGACCATTAATAGCTAGAACCAGCCTACGATACACTCAACCGTTTTCCATCAGCGACAAGTTGCATTTTTGCCTCACAGATATCTGTTATGGACTCAACTTCCTACATTAAAAGAATGACCTGAAAATTGACTTTGAAAATCCAGTTTTGCCGCCCTGAAATTGCATTGGATGCCTTTTGAGAAGAAAACATTGCATTGTCCCTGTCCCTTGTGCTGAATGGCATTGGTGTTCCCTGTCCTTGGTGCTGAATGACATTCTTTTCAGTTTCCTCCTACATGCATGAGTCTGATCTTATAGCTGACCTTGAAATTGTCATTTTCATTAATGTTGCTTTCTTTTCTTGGATTACAGTAAGGACGATGCTCAACTTGACCCTGAATAAATCAATGTTTCTCGATGTTGTAGAAACGCCACCATACTGACAAATAAGCACTGCAGCCTTAAAACTAAAAGGCACACGAACGCAAATACTACGCTGTTTGAATGCTCTGTATAGAAGTACACCCATTCCACCCCTTAGCAGATATATTTCTGGACATATGAATATCATATAAACGTTATGTATCACTTTGTCACCAGATCTAGATACAACCTAAAGATGACATTCATGCCATGCATGTCATGTCATGTATACCTTTGAGTCCTCCTTCAACCAACTCCTGTATCGTTCTGTCCACTGCCTCTTTGTTTCTTGAGACGACCGCTATCTTGTGACCATCTTGAGCAAATCTGGTCGCCACAGCTTTACCTATTCCCCTGGAACCGCCAAAAATTGCACAAACTTTGCTCATAATTTTTCTCCCAACATACAGTTTCTATCCGAGTTTCTAAACATCTTCACATTGCTGTTCACATTCAGCAAACTTATCTGCCTGTTAAAACTTACATGAAACACGCGAATCGGTTAATCACAAGCTATACAAACTTACTCCAAAATGAGTAAAAATTCATGTTAACTTTATGAAATGAAATTATTTGCAAATATTAAGCTATTAAGTTGTAATTTTTTCAATAATTCAGTTAGGCATTATTTTTGTTTTCCATAAACAGCCCAGTATTTCCCGGTATGCCCCGGGGGTTTTATGACGCATGCGCAGTGTCTTATGTGACATTTTTCGTGCGAGCTTGATTCCCGAGCGGTAAAAAAAGTTACTTTACTGGATTTTTCTGCGGTTTGGGGACGAACAGAGCGATTTTATTCACCCTAAGTGATTTTTAGGAGCCCGTGAGTATCTTTTCAGCCTCGCGATCTGTACGTTTGGTACGATTGAAGCGCTAATGACGATTAATTAGTTTGTGTACGTGTTGCCATAACGCTTGGGGGTTGGGCTTTCATGATGTGTCAATCATAATGTTTTGTCGTTTACGCCTGTTAGAAATCATAAAAATCTTATCAACAAACGCAACATTTTCACAGTGTCCTACTTACGTGAGAGCTATGTAGGCCGTAACAAGATCCAAACGTATATAAAAGAGATCGTGTATTGTTACTTCTGATTGTTTTGTAAGTCGGCCATCTTAGGTTGATGTTTACAAACTTATGTGAGAAGACGTTGGATTAACATCTTACAAGTTAAGAGACATTAATGACGATGTTTTGCTTCTTAGATAAACAAATACTTTTTTTGGAGCCCGAAAACCTCGCTGGCAAGGCGACATAAATATGGGAAAGACCTTAGTTACAAGTTGTTGATGCTAGCAACGTTTATATAAAAGTCAAAGCGTTCGATGACCATGTGATTTCTTTCGCAAGGGGATACTAGTACTCTTAAATAAAATACAGATTGAGAATTTGTGGTTAAAATCCTGTTGAAAGCCATGAAAAGATCCAACACAAGTCGGCTACATCCTAGCAAGGCATGGATGATGGTAAGTTGTTTTTGTGTTGTTTTTTTTCACGTGTACAGGTGATGTAAGTTTGCAACATTCTGATCAACATGAGTGACGACATTGAGAAATTCATACAACAGCAGAAACAGAAGATTGCTGCTGAGAGAGAGGAACTTGGGGTCCCATCTGTAAGTTGTCTGTGTCTGAAATTGTTGTTGTTGTTGTCCTTGACTTGTTAACGTCTAGTATATAGCTCTAGATGACTGGTCTTGGTGCTGGTTTATGCTTGGTTCAGTTCGTCAATTGTCTGTCTTCAATTCAGTTCAGAGTCAATTGTAATGATACAATGTACTTAGAAGTTAGAGTAGGGCTCAAAATCCTTTTTTCCTGCATGCAGTGAAAATTACCTGCACCAGACAAGTTTTACCTCCACCACTCATACTTTGAGAAGTTGCATGGATAATAACAAAAAATGTTTAAAAAACCATTGCCATTAAAAATTATTCTATCTTTATAGATGGTAGCTGGTAACGGTCAATGTTAGTGTTTTCAAATGTTAGTATTGTTTAACCTGCACCAGTGCTGGTATGCAGAAAAAATATTTTCGAACCCTGGCTAGTTTTGCCTTAGTTGCACTTGGACAGGTATCTCCATAGCAGGGCTGTATCATACCATGATTCATAGACTGTCTATTGTACTATTATAGCATCAATAATAAATGAACCTACATTGTGTGGCATTGTTACGTTTTGTGATAACATTGGTGTGTAACCTTTAATTTCCCATGGGATTTATATGGGTGAGGCTATCTATTGTCAGTAACTGTGATGAATTGCCGTTGTTGTTTATTGCGCATAACATGTTGGTAGGTAACAACATACAAAATTTATACAGTCTTGTGCATTGACGTTTAAGGCATCCAATGCAATTTCAAGATGGCAAAACAACAAAGAAATATTTTGGATGTCAAAATCTGTTTGATATTACTGCCATTTCTTAGCACATTTTTGTCATCATTTCATACTTGATGCTGAAGCGTAACTTTGAAATAGGCCCAAAACAATTTACGTGATATGTCTCTTTATTTTTGGGTACCTCCCATAAATATCTAGAACCAGCCTACGATACGAAACAACCATTTTCTGTCAGCATTCACTCAGCAACATTACATTTTTGCCTCACTCACTGATACATTTTGTATCAGTATCCTGGGGGATAGGGTTGATTCGATTTCCTATAACTTATATTAGTATAAGAGCGACCAGAAAGTTGACTTTGAAAATCCAGTTTTTCCACAATGACAATTTGCATTGGATGCCTTTAATACAATTTCTGTGGTTAATCTATGAGCTGCATGTTTTGAAGATTTCAGTTATGTTTAACCATTTTGCGATGTCTAGTAACTAAAATGTACATAGTGAAATATTATAGGTGTTATTTTCTTGTAATCTGTTAGGACCCTGATATCAGCCCATCTCATGGTGTCTCCAATGGGCCTTCAAAGGAGAACATTCCCCCAACTCAGGGCAGCAAGAGGGACTCTGGAGGTATATATATATATACATGTATATATGGCCACTACATCATGAAAACAAAGACTCTTTTTTACACATAACCATACACACAACTGGTTCACATTGTACAGACATCACAGTCACTGCTTATGATACAAATGTATGTCCCCAAACTCCTGTATGCTTCATTGTTTGGTACCGCATTGTAGATACTGTTCCCTGTAACTGTGTACATATGTAAATACTTAGCTTGCATTTGGGAATGCATGTATAGCAGCGACACCTGTGCTGTGCAATGTGAACCAGTCAGAATTGCCCTGAGGAAGGTGACGGACAGTGGTCACTGAAATGTCGGCTGAATAAAACACTTGGTGGTGTAAAAAAGAGTCTTTGACTCTTTGTTTGTATTCTGTGACTTATAAATCTGGAGAAACTATTCACAGATGTACACCATGTACAATATTGTATAGAGCTATCTGGAGGTAGAATCTTATCTTTTGGATTAGGCCAAGGTATTTTTTTGTTTCCTGTTAAATCCTAATATTATTTTCTTCACCCTTTATAGGACCAGTGGAGTTTGGAGGGTTGAAGTTGGGTGGTTATGAGGATCACAGGAAGAAACTACAAGAGGAAAGGAAGAGAGAGTACAATGAGCTTTTAAATGAGGTAAGGATTTTAAGAAAACCATTTTTAATCTTACCGTCCCACTTACAATATTTACAAATAATTTATTTACTGCTTTCACTGTTAGCACCTAATAGTATGAATGAAGTATAAAAGAAATAAAAATACTAATACCAGGGTAGTTTCTGAACAATTTTTAGTATGATCCATTCTTCTGAAATCATGAGTTGTGTAGGTAATTTTCAGTGTTTACTTGAACCAGTGCAGGTGTGCAGAAAAAAATACCAATATTTTGAGCCCTGCTCCAGTACTAACATTGAATTGTTGCACATGTTGAGCAGAAGAAGTTCCGGTCTACTGGTGTGAGCTCAAGGATCCAGGAGATTGAGCACGCCAACAAGTCTCTATCAAGGAGCTCAAGTGAACCTCAAGGATTGAATGTAAGACACTCTTCAAACACTGCTTTTCAAAAGCTGGTCGACTCAATGTATTAAGAAATTCCCTGGGGGAATTGTTGTAAATTGTTATGTTTACCTTGTTCTTAGAAGAAAAACATATTGTTTTTGCTCTGTTTCTTATCCTCCTCTTCTTCCCTAAATGAATAAGGTCAATGACCTGGACCAGACATCTGTCACCATGGTAACTGGTACTGTAGCAGTCACCCTGTGGTGTTGGATTAAATTATGTAGCCTGTTGCAGGATAGAGTTGGAGGGGCTGGTTGTCAAATACATGTGTATATGAATGTGTTTGAGTAAAAATTAACAGAGCAGTAGTTTGTTGGGCTGGACCATGTGAAGGTAAACATTATGAATTTGCTTTGCATATGTTACCTTTCTAGCAAATTTTTGTTTGATAAATATTACAAGTTAAAGAAGGAATCCCTGTCTCTCTCTGCAGCATGACCAGGGCAACCGCACGTTTCCCCCCCGTCGGCGAGACACCAGCCCCCTGGGGAGGGAAACCTACGACGACATCTTAAAAAGGAAGCGAGAAGAAGAGGACAGGTATCGTCGCATGGACGATCCAGAGATGATCACAGACAGAAGAAGGTATTAAAGTTAATTTAAAGGCATCCATTGTAATTTCAGGGCTTCGAACTCAGTTTTCTGCTTTAATGTTACTGTGTCAATTTTGGAAGGGCCATGATATCAAGTTGCAATCATTTGACAAATAAAAAATCCCTTCTATACTCGCTCCTTATACAACTTAATTGGTTCTATTAACAGAGACGACAGACTACGAGACCATCCCCTCCGGGCGTCTAGAAGTGATGGTTTCCTGAACGAGCCGGATGATCGTCGGGTAAGACTACATTTCTACACTGCTGTGTATTGCTTTAATCCCCTGTCACACATACATGTATTTTGTCTCCGGAAGCTCCCAAACCCTTGCCAAATGCCTCCCAACCATGGCTAGGAGTAGGTCGGTGCAAAGTCGGCAGTGTCTGTGCCTGTTACTGGGCAAATTTGACTCAAATTTAACTCAAATTCGTTTTGATTCACTCTCTATAGTTGTGAAATAATCTGGTCAGACTGCTCCCGAACGTTAGTCGAACCAGGTCAGCTGGTATTTGGGAACAAATTTTTTGGGAAGGTCCTGAATGGGCCAAATTGCTTTAGCAATTATTAGATTAGACTCATTCTTTTGTGAAGTTGAACTGTTTTAGAAACTCAGAGTGTTTGAAATTCAGCTCAAATGTTTTAAAACCCCACCAGCAGTCGATCAAAAAGCAAAGGCTACATGTACTACCGGTGGCTTTTTGCTAGGCTAAGGGTAGGTCAAGAATACGGAAACACAACATTTTTCTACCAGGAATACGGGAAACATATAATTTTTCTACCAGGAATATGGGAACACAACATTTTTTTCCTAGGCCTTATGTCTCTCTGTCCTTACCAAGCACAGATTAGGTCGGGTTGGCTGGAAGGACTCGGCCATGACAGGCTGAAGTGTGAGTTGTGCCAGCGCAGAGCCAGGCTTAGGGGAGAATGGGACCAGGAGGTACAGGCAGGAGTGGAGTTAGGCAGATCTGCTGTAGGAAGTTAGGAAATCCTGCAGTGAGACTGGCTGTAGATGATATAGTTAGGCAGAAAAGCTGTGCATCTGTACACTCGTCAGGCAGGAGTGGAGATTGGCAGTATTAGAGTTGCAGACCTGCTTTAGAAAGCTTTGTGTTAGAAAATCTCCTGGGAGACTGGCTATAGATGATATAGCTAGGCAGAAAAGCTACACATCTATACAGTTCCTATAGTCCCAGTAGTGAGGCAGGATAACTTTGTTCCAGTATTCTAGCCAGCCTGAAATTGTTTCCTGTCAACTCAATTTTGTTTGATGTAATATCATGTTGAGTACTGAAGGAGGCAAGACAAACCAAGGGGGGTCTGGAGCCTGGGAAAATTTTGAAATCTTGACCTCCTGAACTACTTTTGAGCTGAAAATTTTCCTGGGATAAATGAAACATCTTTCCATATCTATACATGCCAATTTCCGTCTGTCAAAGATAATGGATTTGGCAAAATTTTTGTCCATTATGAGAAGCAAAATTCCATCAAATGACGGAAAGACAAATGCTGGCTAGTTTGGTTCATTTTCATTCAAAAAGCTGTTAACTGTTTTTATTACTGATAAAAGAACATTAAATTTTAATTTATTGAATTTCCTTCATGTTTCAGGATTATGACCGGAAGGTAAACCGCCTGGATGATGACTATGGCAGCAGGCACGTCCGTTTCAGGGACAGGGACGACTACGTAGATACTGACAGACGGGACTGGGTATGTTGGTTGCTTCATGTCATTTAGATGCTCATAGCACTGGATGAAAGACAAAGTTTACATTTCACTCTTCTTCAGTGTCACTAATAACTAATTCTGTTCATTAGTGATGCAGAAGAAGAGTGGTGGATGTCACTCAAATGTTTGGAAGCAATCTCCGTATTTCATCTAGTAGTAGTCTAAGAGCTTGAATTTTCTTTATCGTTTACCTGGATGTCTAACCTTCACCAATGCACATCAAAGATGATTTTTTAGGCAGTGCAGTTTTAATTTGCAACTTCATATAAAGTGAACTGAAGTCAGGAATGAAATATTTTTGTTTAAAGTTAAATGTATTTTGAAAAACAGTTGCTTAACGTGTAGTAGTACCAAATTCATTGCCAACCATCAAACACTAGTTAGTCTAAATATCTGTTGTGTTCTTCTCTCTTTCAGAGTCATAGCAGAGCAGGGAGGAGAAGGGACCTCAATTCAGCTGAAGGAGACAGGTTGGTTGAAACTGTCATGTCACTGACAACATTGCTCACATCAATTCGTCCATGACAGGGGTCCATGGTAGTGCGCAGTAAAAAAGTGACGAGGGTTTTGAGGGTTTGAACATCTTTGGACTACTTTTAGTTTCGTGTTTTACCAAGAACATTCGTCAGTGTTAATGTTTTTCCAACCTACAGGCCATCAAGAGAAAAGAGTGACAAGGACCGGGCCCACTCTGCGCCTCCTGAAGACGGCTTTGTCATTGGTGAGCCACATACTACTTAACATATGTACTAAGACTTTCACAGTACATCCATCCTGTATAACTATAAGAGTAAAACTTGACTTATGTTTGCCTTTGCAGAAAGAACATAATAATATATGGTTTTTGTTCTATTTTGGTGTTGGGTTACATTATGTAGCAAGTAGGCAGGACAGAGTTCGAAGGCTGGCCACCATATAATATATGAATGTGTACACAGTTTGAGTAATATAAGATTGATAGTAAAATAGAGCAGTTGTAGTTTGCTTTGCAAATGTCCTGTGGAGAATTAAATTTCCAAATCACCTTGTGGAAAAATAAAACACTGAATAGAATGCCTACTGTGTACCACAATGGACGATGTCCTTTGGTATAAACTACTTCTAATAACTTCTAAGCATGTATGCCATATCACAGGGAACCAGGAGCGAGCGAGTGCAGTGAGACGTAAGAAAGACGCCTACCGACAAGACCTCATGCAGCAGATGGCTGACAACGAAAGAGCAAGGAAAAAGTCAGTCTTTTCGGAGATCCCAGTAGTTATACATTATATAGAGCCAGTAGTGACGCTCTTAAACAATATCATGCTGACACCATTGAACCCCTAGCCTGATTTTTCCAATCTATAACATTGTGGGTTGCTTAATTTTCTTCTGTAATATTGAAAATAACAGCCTCCAGTTTAATTCTGGACTTCCAGTTTAATTTCGGACTTATTCTCGTATCCCAGCAAGTTACGTCTAGATGGGCTTATCTCATTAACTATAGATAAAAATGATCGAGGACCCCTTGGGGATTAACACAATTCTGCAGAATTCTGCACAGAATTCCAGTTCCCAGAATTCTGCAGAATTCTGGCTGCAGTTCCAGAATTCTGCATTAACTGTTCCAGAATTCTAACATTGTAGGTATCCAGATACAGTTACTGTAAATCAAGTGAAAAGTTATGAATTGAATCGCCCAGTGATCCTTTTGATCCTGTTACCCTTGTTTCTATTTGTGCCGGTCACCTGTTTTGTAACTAACACATGTGCAGCTGCTCGTAATCCGATGTAAATCGGCTTAAGCAGTACATAAGATGATGATGATGATCCTTTTTTGTTCCATCAGGGAGAAGGTCCGAGAAATGAGAATTAATGCCAGTGGAGAGACAGACCCTGAGAAACTGGTAAGACTGGGCTTTTCTGTTGTCGTCCTCTGTTTGTTACAGTAACAGTAAGTGTGACGTATGTCCAAATTTGTATTGTGCATGTCGCAGATTATCATACAGCATTGTATATTTTTTAATGTTAAAAATTTTGCTTTGTGGTGCCCACAGCATTTATTGACAGAAGATAGATTATTGATCAACAGTGTCATTTTAGGAAACTGAACTACAGTTAGAAATCTGTCATGCACATGACCTATCACTCACCTATACATGATAATAATTGTTTACTGCTCTGCCTAATTGCGCCTGTTTACTTGTTTACATTTTGCGGCGGCTCTGCAGACAAGTGTCCCAGAGGAGGAGGTATATCATTTGTGGGGTGTTGTTGTCACTAACACAACTTACATGCTGTTATGTGTGCCTAATTAGATTAACTTGGTGTTTGGTGATCTCAAAATATGGTGGTGGGACTTTAAGGGTTAAGGCTACATTAGGCGAAACTTCTTGGTATGTTCGAACAAGAAAATTCTAGAAAGGAGCTTTCTTGAATTTGCTCTAATAGTAAAATAGTAAAATATACATAGTGAAATATCTTTATTGCATGTTAATGTCAACTTTAAAGATAACTTGATTCAGCAGTAGCCATCTTCAGTCCTAAAAAAGATTTTTAAAAAGTGTTATGCTCTAACTTTAATAAAAATGTTATTGCCTTTTTGTAATCAAGAACATATGGTATTGTATCATTTTGGTCAACATTGAATCTCTTTTACTATTATTATTAATATATAAGTATTAACTATGTGTGCCGATTAATCTATCGATTGCCATGTGCACAAAAGTCACTAACACCAGTGCAAGGACTGTTGTCCTCCAGAATTCAATATGAAAACTTATTGGAGCCTCCATTGGAAGTCATTCAAAGATCATTGCCAATCAAGCCACAAGATCTTTCAAAAAGCTCCATTATTTAACTTTAGGACAATACAAAAGGTCAATTTTCCGGTCATTTCATAATAGAGTAAGTTGAATAAACCCTACTCCATAAGTGTTAGTCAGGAAGTCGAGGTGTAAAATATGACGCCTTACCAGCTTTTAAGTTTGTTTACATTCTGGTAGTTTAGGGTGGTACCACAAACTGAGTCTGCACCGTGTGGTCCGTCAGCAATACGAGATAATCACACAAATTTGTTGAAAAGTGGAAGTCAATTACAATCACACAAAGATATTTAACACGATATTTCAATTTTGGGTGCGTACATAATGTCCCTTTAACATAGAAAGATGTATTCTGTACTTGCAAAAGTGTGTCTTTGGACAAAGTTTGACAAAGTTTGATTCCCCTTGCCACACAGCCTGGTAGAATCCGGGACCTCCCGCCGACTAACCGCCAGCCCAACCGGCAGCGAGGGCGGGACACGTCCCCGTACCGCCCGTACCACACCCTGGACGACGAACCAGAGCCTCGGGACAGGCCTAGACGACAGGACAGACAGAGGACCCCCCCATACAGACCCCAGCAAGCCTTTGCAACACCACCACCTCAGCCACAGAGAGGTCAACCTCTCTTTTGTTTGTTTGTTTCATTAGTGTAAATTATGTTTGCCTTCACAGAAGGTAAACAACCCCCTTGTTTTGTTTTTGCTCTGTTTCTTCTTCCTCCTCTTCTGTCTTCATTTAAACAAATAAGGTCAATGACCTGGACCAGATGTCTGTCACCATGGTAACTGGTGCTGTAGCAGATACTCTGTGGTGTTGGGTTACATTATATAGCAGGTGGCAGCACAGAGTTGGAAGGCCCGGTTACCTTATGATATGAATGCATTTGAGTAAGAATAAACAGAGCAGTAGTTTAGTCTATGGCTAGACCATAAAGAAGGTTAACATTATGAATTTGCAAATGGTACCTTTCTAGTTTACTTCTTGATGGATGACAATATCTGAACTAGAACATTTGCAAAGCAAATGCATAATGTTTACCTTTGCATCTAGTCTGCTCTGTTAATTCTTACTCAAACATATTCATACATGTATATAATTAAGGTGACAGCAGTCTAAATCCCTCCTGCTATAAGTTGCAACATGATGTAACCCAACACTAGTTACCATGGTGACAGACGTCTGGTTCAGGTCCTTGACCTTGTTTGGAGAAGATGAAGAAGAGGAAATGGAACAAAAACAATTCTATGTTTTCCTGTAAATAAACAGAGCAGTGAGTTTAGTCTAAGGCTAGAACATAAAGAAGGTAAACACTATGAATTTGCAAATGTTACCATTTTAGTTAACTTCTTGATGAATGACAATGTCTGAATGAAAGTTCAATCTTCCATGCCCCCCAGGCCTAGGTCCCCAGCCCATGGGTTACATACAGCCTGGAGTCGTGCCTGCCAACCCCTACTTTGTGGGAGCTCCCATGATTCCCGTGGCGGCCCCTCTCGGTCCGTACCGCACGCCTTACGATGATGCCTACTACTACTACGGCATGAGACACCCGCTGGATCCTAACATAGGGACCGCAGGTATGGCCTTACAATGTACATTCTACCTCAATTATAAATAATGTAGGTGTACAATCATGTATGTTGGTTTTTTTTCTGTATTCACTGCTACCACCTATGAAGCAGAAAGGAAATAATGGCTGCAATGGTTTCTAAATGTTCAGCTTGTAGCTAGTATAATCCGGTATACTTCTCAAAGTCTGAGTGGTGCAGGTAAAACTTGCAAGGTGCAGGTAATTTTTAATGTTACCTGCATGAGTACAGGTATGCAGAAAAAGTATTTCAAGCCCTGTATTAACACAAGCTGAACTTTGGCTAATAAATTAATGGTTATCATGTTTAATTCATTGTATTTTATGATGTACTACTGCAAAAAGATTTCAGTCAATAAGCCAGTCATTGATGATATTACCAGGCGGTCCAGTTCCACCGGCAGGCGGTCCAGTCCCTCCCCTGACCAACTTACCAAACGGTCCCACCGACACCCTCCCTGTACCCTCCATCAACGTGCCCACCCTCTCACCTCGAGGACCAGAGTTTACCAGGGAGGAGTAAGTACTTTTCTTCTATCTGCCTTCTCATGGAAAAAAACCCATTCAAACAAACAAGTATTTGGAGATCTCAGACCTCCATGAAATATTTAGATCCTGTGTGTTGGTGACTGTGTCCTCTTCTCATTCACTATGTTGTCTGAAAGTTGTTCTTTACGGTGCAAGGGAAATAGCACCAGCTGTCAGCTGTCAAGGAGGTCATGTACTGATGTAGTGAAAAACATCTGTGAAACAGCGGCCGCTACCAGATGCTCATTATTGTAGACGTGATTAATGACTAAGTCTTTCCCCTCAGGGACAAACTGAACCCAACCATATCCATTACAACCGGACAAAATTCTGGACTTGTTTTCAGGACTTGTTTTCAATTATCACTGCTGAATTTGACAGTCTCATTGTACAGTGCTTGTAATAGCTTAATGATGCTAATTTTTGAACTACTGTAGTTTAACCAGTTCATGTTTCTCCTCAGTGCTGCAAGAAAGCGCACAGAGAGTCGTATTCAGGACATGGTCGCCGATGATGATACAAGAAAAAGCCAGGAGGCCATACAGAAGCAGAAACAGTATCAAGAAGAGCTGAAGGAACAGGTAGGAACTTCAAGTAAAGTTTGTTCTAGCCAACTTTTGCTGCTTATGTGAAAATGAGGGACAAAGAGATGTCACTTAAAAGCTTAGTCTACCAGCAAAATTTGTTACTCAAATTGCAGGAAATATTTTCAGAGGGTCAAAATTTTCCCCAGGATGCATGCCCCAAGACCCCCTAGCATTGTCATGCCTTCAGTGCTCGAGATGTTGTTATGTCAAACAAAACTGATATGATATGATGTTGTGCAAATGTCACAATTCAAAATCTAAAATATTTTCCCCAGATGAGACTGCGAGACATCAAGAAACAGAAAGAAAGGGAGGAAAAGGAGAGGTAAGATTTCTGTCAAAGGATTCAATTCTAAAACACTGCATTATTGTAGATACTGTTCCCTATCCCTGTGTATACATTGTATAATACTTCTAAATACCTTGTGTTTGGGAATCTATAGCAGTGACAACATGGGCTGTGCAATGTGAACCAGTCAGAATTGCCCTGAGGAAGGTGACAGACGGTCGGCTGACGGTCGGCAGACGGTCGACTGAATAAAACACTTGGTTGAATTAAAAAAGAGAGTATTTTTATTCAGTGACTTACCAACCTGCTGAACCTACATGTATCCACAGAGTCTGACATATTACATGTACAGCACACAAGTTGCAGTGTCATCACTCCTTGTGTCTTCCCTCATACAGATACGACCGGAAGTTGGAAGCAGAAGCCATGAACTATAACCCCTGGGGTAAGGGTGGAGGGGGGGCGCCGCTCAGGAACAGTGACGGGAGGGTGGTCGGTAAGTGGAACATGTTTGGCTATCATCTTTTGTCCAACAGCAACACTTGTTCAATCTTTTGCAATGCCATATTATACAGACTGAGTCAAACTTGTCCTAGTGAGCACCTTTGTAAAGCGGCCATCTGGCCATAACGACTGCTTTTTCTTAGTTTTGATTTTTTCCCATAGATGTTATAGGACTTGCTTAAGCATTATAGGTCTTGCCTAAGCCAATCACTTGACCAATGCAATTGCCATTGGCACTACTTGTGACTGTTTGTCCAATCCCTGCTGTGTCATTTTCAACAGAAAACGTTTTTTGATAAAACTAGTGAGAAATCTAATAAAATCTACTAGATAAAATTGGCCAGTTTGCCATTCATTTGGACAGCATAACAGTTGCACAATGTAAAATGGCACCGGCTGGGTCAATGGGGCAGTCTATCATAAATGGGTAGTTTTTTGCATTCCCTGTCTTGTCTTGAAGACCACTTTTCTTCAATCCCCTTCTAGTAGGTGGTTGTCATACACAAAAAGTGCATCTTTAGGAGGTACATGACTATACATATTATGTAAACCTTGACTGTGTTGTGTCCTTGTCCCTCCAGCTGACCTGCGGAAGATGCACATTCAGAACGAGGAAGACCAGCTCAGCCCAAGGAACGAGTACTCGGACAAACCTGTGGTCAACCTAGAGGTCAACATGGCCAGTCTGACTGAGCCGCCCAGGCCACCACCTAAGGAGTCCCAAGGTAAAGAACATTGTTGTTAATGGTAATTCTTTGTGGTTCATTGGTAGAAATCCTCTTTTTCACTGTTCTGTAATGTCGCAGAATGTGAAAATTTTGTTCTGCAATTCAGAAGTACACACTTAAAAGTCCGGATCAAAACCCATGGCATATACAAAATTGCATGTTTGCAAACATTTTACATTCAATATGAAAAATTCAGTCATGCAAAATTACTTGACGTATATTATAGAGTCAGTAGTAAACACAAAAGCTCTTACACACCATTGAACCCCTAGCCTGATTTTGAAATTGCAGTTTGCTTAATTTTTCTCCTGCAACATTGAAAATGTCTCTGCAGAATGCAGACTGCAGATGGGCATTTCTAACACTGTTGTTGGTAATGTTAATCAAAAACATGTCTCATATTTTTTGTAAGCGTGTGTCATGTGCATTATTTTCCTTAGCCCTGCCTCTTTGTACTTTGAGCTTCCGCATCTGTCCGTATGACCATGCTACTCCCAAATCTTTCCTGTACGTAAACAATTTTCTTGCAACTTCCACACATGCATCTTGGGCTATGATAGACCAGGATGCCATTGGCCTGTTCCTGACCAATCATAATGAGTCACAGTACCCAGGACATGGTGGCGGCAGTGGCGGCAACAATACCTCGGAAGGTTGGGGGAACAGAATTTCAGTGTGTCCGTGTGCAATAAAAAAAACAGAGATTCAGAGTTGAGGACTGGAGATGTTGACCTGTACCCTTGCTAAAGTGGTGCTCAGTGTTGCATTAATGCTCAAGATTTGAGGCGGCATTGATGCTGACTGCCATGGTAATTTCATGGTTATCATGGCTGTCCAAGTTTTTCTGGACTAAGGTGACATTAATGCCGAAAATGCCAGGCCAGTGCAGCATCAATGCTTCACCTATGCGGCACCGAACACCTCTTTCGCGATACCTTTAACAGTCAGACCATGAGTTTTCAAGAGTAATGTGACTTTTCGGCTGCATGATATAATTTCCAGGTAAATGGTATATTTTATCATGTTGCTAAATAATATACAACAACATCTCCAGTTACAATGTCTGTGTCTGGGCTGGCCAAGTCTTCAATCACATACATGTACATGTGTAACAATGGGTGCAAGGCATGAGCAAACTAACACAGCAGTACTGTTTTTTTTAAATCTAAATCATTTTACAACATTAAATTTGCTTTCTCTCTTAACATTGGGCACTTAAAACTAATAACACAAAAGCAACTTTAAGAAAAAGAATTAAACCCTAACCTAAATGAACTAAAATTCAAAGCAAATCAAAATCTGGTGTTCTTTATTGCATTTTACATGAAGTATTGTCTCTCTGACATGTTGTACCTACATGTATTTCTCCCCCAGCCCTGAACATGTACACGTACAAGTCACCATTTGCACGCAAGAACAAGGTGTTTGAAGATGAAGGCAGTGAACAGAAGAGTCAGAGGGATGAGTACCAATCAGAGCTTCAGAGACAGGTGAGACATTTGTAGGTGTCTAGTATGAGTATTCCTCAGCAGTTGTAAGAGGAATCTTGGGCATCATTGTACATGTAGAGTATATACAGCTGAAGTCTATCCTTATTTTTATTAGTGTGATGCATAGAAAGGTTTTGATACATTTAAGAATGATATGCCTGAGAATGATACAAACTTGAACCCTTGAGGTACTACATTGTAGTACAGTCAAATTTGCCCAAGCAACCACCTCAAGTTTGACTGTAGAACTGTTTAATTTCTGGCTCTTGATTGAGAAGTCTGCCCTCCCCTCAGGTTGAAGAGAAGAAGCGTAGGCAGGAAGAAGAGAAGAGGAAGCAGAAGGAGGAGGAGGAGAGGGAGGAGCGGCGCTTGGCGGAACAGCGTGAGAGGATGCAGCAGGAGTATGAGGCAGAACAGAGAAAACAGCGAGAGAAAGAAGAGGAGGTAGGAAAGAGATGGATGGGACACTTCAAAGAGAAACAAACTACATGTAAATTATGAACAATAGTACAGAAAACTAGAAAGATACGTAACATTTGCAAACTTAGGAAATGCATAATGTTTACCTTCTGTTCTGCTCCGTTGATTCTTACTGAAACACAGGAGTCTAAATCCCTCCTGCTATAAAATTGCAACATGATGTAACCTGACACTAGTTACCATGGTGACAGATGTGTGGTTCAGGTCATTGACCTTATTGGTTTGGAGATGAAGAAGAGGAAACAGAGAAAAAACAATATGTTTTCTTCATAAAAAGTATGATATAATGAAATGTGGCACTGTGTGGCGTAAAAGGCAGAGTGCCTGGATCAAAATCAAGAGCTTAGAGATCTCAGACCTCCATGAAATATTTAGATCTTGTATGATGGTGACTTGTGTTCTCTTCTCATTGACCATGGTGTATACAAGTCTTTCTTTATTGATCAAGGGAAACAACACCAGCTGTTAGCAGTCAAGGAGGTCATGTAATGAAAAAAAACACCAGGTCCTGTGAAAATGGCACTACCAGATGTAGATGACTGATTAATGACTTTCTGACTGAACCAATCCATTACAACCTGACCTAAAGTTAAGGCCATACAAAAACACAGACACACACACGGACACACACAGACATACCAAAAACAATACTTCGGCATCCATATTTCATGGCAGTAGTGAATACTGTATTATCACCCAGCTGACGAGTGTTCTGTTTGTAGGTGAAGAGAAAGAATGAAGAGTTGAAGAGGCTGGCAGAGGAGAGAAGGCAGGAGGTGGAGAGGAAGAAGAAGGAGGAAGATGAGAAACACGACCAGGAGAGAAGACGGCAGCTGGATGAGGAGGACAGGAGACGGAGGGAGGAGCAACAAGTGAGAACGGTTCTTTTGTCTGGCTCATCCTGGAAATAGTGGATCAGTGTAATCGGTGATGGAAAAAATTGGGGTGAAAAAACATGAAAAAAAGATGTAACTAGTAACATTTGCAAACTAGTAACATTTGCAAAGCAAATGTATACCGTAATGTTTACCTTCACCTGGTCTAGCCCAATGAACAACAGTTACTACAGTACTGTTTATACTCAAAGTCAAATACATTCAAATGTATGGTGAGCAGGCTCTACATCTCTGTTCTGCTGCATAATGTAACCTCACCACAGGGTGTTGCTACAGTCCCAGCTGTTACCATGGTAACAGACGTCTGGCCCAAGTCATTGACTGTACATGTATTTGTTTGGAACTGATTGAAACTGAGAAAAAAACAATATGTTTTCCTTCTGTAAAGGTAAACATAATTAAACTAAGCTAAGTGTACTGGCAAACCTTTTCCCTAAAAATGCAGGGAATAGCATTTCAGAGGATGAAGATTTCAAAATTTACAATACGCCTGTTTGTTTTGTTTTTTCCTGGTTGATCATGAAAGTCTGCCTATTGTTACAGAGACAGCGAGTGTCATCCCCTCCCATCCCTACTCTGAGGAAGAATGAAGAAGAAAGCCAGCAGCCACCACCAGACTCCTACAGGGTACAGGACACACTTTCATCGTACATCATAAATTTTAGTAAAACAGTTACTGTATCTCTTGCCATTTTCATTGGTCCCATACCACATTTGATTTTGGGGACCAGTTCAGTTGACAGTCAGCTGTCAAGGAGATCATGATTTTGGGGTTCAGTTTACCTTAAGTTAACATGTATTTCAAAGTTTGCCCCTTCCTTGAAAAGAATAATCGGACATAATAATTGGCTATGTGTGACAGTGTCTGTTATGTTCCTTTCCTGACTTTAGGAGAGACCGCCCCAGTCCCCACCTGTACCTGCGGTCAGAACCAGGGAGAGAGCACCAGGTCAGTTGGAGTCTTGGTCTTGATATATATATATGTTTATTTAGAATGATACAAGATATTGCACACAATGGAATCAAAACTGACACGCTGTCATCCAAAGATGTCACAATGTCATGACAATATCCCAAAATTAGGTTCCAATAACTTTGAACAATGAAAGTGGTGTCTGAGTAATAATCCTGAAGTCAACTATCAAAGGTGGAGTTAGGCATTGTAACTCTGGAAGGAGCATTGTTGTGGGTGATTCTGATACAATGTAGTTGTTTGTAGTTGATGCTCTCACAGGCGCCACCTATTAACAGAAGATGGTACTACAGGACTTATGTCATGGCATGGTCAGTGGTATAGGAGTGGCATGTCAAGCATGGTAGCCCTGAAGAAAATGTGCCCAATATCAGTCTGAGAGTGTTTGCCTTTT